TGGCCGACTAGTAGTATCAACGAGCTTGGTCCTACAACTGCGAATCCATTGGGGTCTCGAAAGGAATAAGTGTCTCCTTGGAGACCCAAGACTCTGGTAGAGTAAAGACTGCGAAATGATGCCACTAGAGATGTATCTTTCGACTAAGAGTACCCCTTAAATCAAATCCTGTTGGGAAACAAGAGGTAGAAAGCCGAATTACAATTGCATCTGCGTTATCAGGTCTCGTCGGTTCATCGGCGTCCGAGTGGGAGTTCGAGTCAACGTTCCTAGGCTCGAATCCGGTCCACTCGTCATTTCGACGACCTCAACTATGCAATGGGTGATTGTGATTAGAGGCGAAAGTAGTCACGTTAAAATGTCTCTTTTCAACTATTCATGCTGAACGAGGTACAAGGCCAAAGTGCTCTTTGAGTCCGGGCACTTAGTTGTCCGGCTCGTCTCTTCATGATGGCGCATCGGGCTGCTTTAGGACGCGCTGTACGGTGAGTCGTGTGGGGAGCAGACTGCTTCGCCCATTGTCTTGAGGCTATCTCTTATGCAAAATGCATATGCTTTCAGTTCAGGCACTGCTCACTGCTTTATCCCAACGCCCGATGGGCAGAAGAACTTCCACGACCCCTCTTTGCCTCCACCTCGTCAAGTGAGTTTGCTTACTGTTTGATGAAGGCATTTAAATGTCTGATTGTATCTACCTGTAGGTTAACAATGGAAGGCAGGAGAGAAGCTACTACTCCCTGAAACACAACGAATGACAGCACAAACACGATTAGTACTGCAGACCTCCGGGCGCCTTGGCAACCAAGTGCAATTATTGTAACTATTATCTTTGTTCCCCCCTGTGGGGAGAGGGTGTACTCAATTTGAGTAATACCCACATCATGCGTTGCTGTCTAGCCAATTGGACAAGTGGATAAACCCCGGCCCCTTCTAGATCCGTATGCATACAAGCACAGAAGCGCAAACAGGCATGCACTCGTCACTGCTCCGCTATTTGGAGTCCGACTTACCATCGGGCCTGAGCGTAAAGTGGCAGTCGCTTCCATCAGAAATGGTTCAGTGCTTCCCCTGAAAAGATTGAGCAGCAAGTGCCTGGACCAACCTGTCTTGTCTAGTTAGTCAGACGACAACTGTGCCTCGTGAAACGCCCTTGAGAGTGTCAAAATTTCGCCAATATCGGCTAAGAAGAGTGGATTTCTGTGAATGTGAATAAGTACAATAACAATACAGAACTATGCAAGGAAAATACCCACATAGCCACCCTACAAAGGTGCACACATACACACAGACACAGGAATTTAAGTGAATGTACATGTAAAGCGATTCACCGATAATAAGAGCTGTAGTTGCATAAGGTGATGAAGGGTTGATGAGTGAATTTACCCAAAAGGATACAAAAATGTCTCACAATTCCATTGAGTTTCACCTGGCTCAGTCATTTAGGATGGCTATGGCACGTATTCAAAGTCATCGAATAATATCAAGGCCTACTCACCAAGAAAATAAGTAGTGTAGTTTATTGTAATGACAAACTTCTAGTTTGCACAATACATACGAAATAGGAGAGGCCTGGCTCGACTTGAAATTCACGAATGTCTTGTGATCCATGGGGATTCGTCAGAGCTTGTAATAGTGATATTATGTAGAGATTCTAAGCTGTACCACACGGATTCGATTCATTTTGGTCTCAGTGACTATAGCTAGGCGAAGTAAACACGGCAAAACAGTCCAGATTAGATGAGAATACCTTTTGGGAGGCAAGATTAAGTGAACTCCAATGACAATATGAGGTCGACTGGTGTCATTGTAGGGAAATTCAACTTGTAGTCCCTGATCACCTCGTGAGAACCAGGTTGACTACAGCACTTATGCTAGATTAACCCTGTTTAATATAGGAAATAAATTATCGTTAAGCTCCCTTCCATTTTGCGTGAAAGTGTGTTATGATTAGACTTGGATCCCATCAGAAGACAATGGATGATCTATCTTTCCCAGCTTTCTATTCGTTTAACTGTCTCCAAGGCAATCTCCTTCGAGTACAGTGGAAACATACCAAATTTTGGCGTGCATCACTTTAACTGGGTAGCATTCGTATAACCATATTCAAACGAACAAATCAAGAAAACTCACCGGATTATCAATTAATGCTAAATACGTATACTTTATATCCATACATTTTGATGACGTGTAAAGTGATTTGGTTAGTCCAAATTATATGCCGTCTAGAGGTTAGGTTTTA